AAAAAAGAAGAGATGGGCCGTTGTTTGGTAGCAAGTGTGTATCATAACAGAAACTGGAGAATCATTTGACAAGGTGTACTAACAGTTGTTTTGGGTGTTTTATATTCATTTTTGCTCAGTATTTCAATTTGTAGGGGTATTTTTTCTTGAAAGAAATATCAGCGCCCATTAATAAATGTACACTACACTTCATTGGATGTCTCTGCCTCAGACCATTATGGAGAAATGGGCTTCACTGCACAGGGCCTCTCTCCCCAAACTGATTAAGAGCTACAATGTCACAGACAGTTTGACAGGGAAGAAGTAATGGAAATGTAACTAAAACCTTTTAGAGCAAAGTAATAGCGTGAATGGACCCTGGAGCTCTGTTTTAAGAGTTTGGAAAAGAGAGCATATGAATTTATTATTAAATTGGCTCACAGATGCATGCACAGCATCCATGTATTGGAATAAGGTATTGGGAACAAATAGAAATTGTGAACATGAAGTCATATGCATTTGAGATGATGTTTTCAAATTGTATGCACCTGTCCTCATGAATATTAGACTTGCTTATCACACCTGTGCAAGTATTATTCAGTCATTCAGTTATTCAGTCATATTTTCGGATTCATGATCTTCTGCACCATTGAATCAAACAGATGAGCTTGACTGAGTTGTAAGGATAGTGATTTGTAGAGACGGTATTAGCATGAACTGTATTAATGATATAGCTTCTGCTGTTAATCCTGATTGGACAAATATATATGCGTTGATGAGGTGGATTTTGATGGTCACAGTTGTGACGGTAGGGAAATGAAGACGGACATAGTGAACAAACTCTTCCAAATTAGTTACCACCCAAAAAGATGTAGTTACCATTTCATCCAGGTGTATTTAAAAACAAAGTTGCAAGTAATAAGAAAGCAACAGGTTGATATACTGTACTGCTCATTGCCACCTTCTTCAAGGCAGCAGTCTAAGCACCTTGTAGACTTATCTCCACAGATCACAGAAACTAAAGAAGAGCATTACACTAGGTTTGTGGTGTAAGTGAGCCAGTATGTGGCGGTCTTTCCTCTGGACACTTTTTCCTATACCAGTATGAATAGTATGTTGACCAGGGACACTGAGCAGTAGGAGATACCATTGTCTAGAATGGTTCTTTTTAAAACATGTTCTAATTTTTATTCTTAATTCACTCACTGTAATTTCCCTCTTAATTCTGCTGGTGAAGTAATTTCTTAATTGGAGTTCTACCGATGATGAGGCATGTTGATATAGACGATAGTCAACACACAGACGTGAAAGAATGATTGTTCAGATTGATAATACTTTTTCTAATTAAGTCCTTATGGCTTTTTGGCAGGTTTCCTATGTAATAAGAGATGAGGTGGAGAAATACAATCGCAATGGGGTAAATGCTCTACAGTTGGACCCGGCTCTGAATCGGCTATTCACGGCAGGAAGGGACTCCATCATTAGGATATGGAGTGTCAACCAGCACAAAGTAAGTGGTCATTCATTGAAAAAAATATTGAGGAGAAGCCATAGCCTTTGGATTTTGAAAATACTGTAAAGTGGGCCTTAATTACCCCCTTTTAAGCACAGTCTGTCTTGTCTCTTATTGTTATTGCCATTTCCATGTGTGTAGCAGTACTACAGTTTAATAAGAAGTTGACTTATGAATACAGAATTATGTAAACTGTATTTTGAGTATCTTATGTTTTGTAATTCCTAGAAGCCAAATGCAGATTCTTATTTACTGGCAACTTCGTTATCCTTGCTTTGATAAGGAAAATGTGGTTTAACCTGGATGACATAGATTATTACAGGTGTGATCTATGTCATCTAATCATCTCATTTTAAAAGAAATTTAAGGATCCTTTTACTGGTGTGTTAATGTAAAATGTGTCCAAACACATTTTTCTTGTTTAAATTGCAGCAAGATCCCTACATAGCATCCATGGAGCATCATACAGATTGGGTGAATGACATTGTGTTGTGTTGCAATGGAAAAACCTGTGAGTATTTTATTCACTGTTGAATATTTTAAATTGTGCTAGTTTTTCCTCATATCAATTTATTTCCATCAAGTTGTATATTATTGAATTATGAACTGAGGTTAATCAAAGTATGAATTCCTCTTACAAATTTTCTAGTTAAATACTAAGATAAACATAAGAAATGTGCAATAATGTTTTTATTATTTTAGTAATATCAGCTTCTTCGGACACCACAGTGAAAGTCTGGAATGCACATAAAGGCTTTTGCATGTCTACGTTGCGGACTCACAAGGTAAAGTCAACATAACTCGCATTTGAAATAAGGAATTGTGATCTAAATGACCTAAATGTGAAGAACACTGTTGTAACAGGCTCGAGAAAAAATGATTACACAAGCATGTGCCAGAAACAAATAGCGCAAAAGTGCTCTTTATTGCTCACAAAGAAAGGAAAAAAAGAAAACTTTCTGCGGCTTTTCTCCAAACAAGCTGCTGCACTTTATCTCATTAGTTCGGGCGGGGAGCTGCGTCAGCATGCGTAGGCTGCAAAGGAACAAGTAATAGGTTTATTCCATGCTGAAAAAAGTAAAAAAGAAAACGCAACGTTTTGGCTGTGGAGCCTTCTTCAGGTGTGAGGAACCTGAAGAAGGCTCCACGGCCGAAACGTTGCGTTTTCTTTCTTCTCTTTTTAGCATGGAATAAACCTATTACTTGTTCCTTTATCTCATTAGTCTTACAGCACTCAAGCTCGTTGGGGATTCTCCTGCAGTCATCATGTTCTAGCTATCAAGGCTCCCACTAGTGTGCCTTTTGATTCCAGCTCTATCCTCATACCTATTAAGGAGAGCCCTAAGTTTTTATAGGGATGACTAGTTGCTGCTGCAGGCAGCAGCTGTGCTTTCCCAGGCGAGCAGAAGCTTACTTGTAAGAAGCATATAGATACATTTTGCAAACCGTTATCAGTTGAGCCAGATCTGTTCCTGTTACTTCCATCTGCCATTTGGAAGTGATCTTTGCAGTTGCAAATTCAATTTCATGATGCTTATAATAAACTTTATTTTTTAATTAGGGCAGATATATTGCTATACATTGTGTCTTTAGAATACATTATGAAAAAAGAAAAAGAAATGTCTACCTCAGATATAGATGTGCATTTCCACAGCACCTGGTTTGAAATATACTCAGACAGTTCTTGATGTATAATTCTCAGAAATGCATTTTTCAACATGGCTGAATGCTTATATTCTGCATTGTGTAGCTCCGTACTGTTCACAGAACAGTACATTAAAATATATGCTTGTAATATAATGCTTGTACATTAAAATATATGCTTGTATCATTTATCAGAAAATTACTTAATTCTTAATGGTTTTGCTAGATGGGCCAAATGGCCTTCTGTCGTTTGCAAACTTTCT